AATTAATAATAATAATTAATTAATAATACTTTTTAATTTTCACAAGAGGGACCATATTTCTCCTATAAAAAAAAAAACAACTTAATTCTTTTCTTCTTTAATTAAAATAATATAACAATTAATTTTAATATATATCTAATTCAAATCCATCACCCTTATCGTGACTATCTATAATCTAATTGACTGAATTTTTTAACAAAATAATAATTACAACAACACACACACCTCTTCTCTAATGAATCACCATCACCATCATCAACAATTTTTACAAAGAATGACAATGCAACAACAACAACAACAAATGATAATAGCAGCCACAAGAAATCAATCACAATCATCCTCATCCACAACACCGGGAACATTCCAATATATTTCCCAAGATGAACTTCTCAGTCTATACGAACAACGAAAGGGAACACAATACTTTATACCTGAAGGATTTGAACCAGTGCTAATACCACGTGATACTTCAATACCACCTATAAATGATAACAACAACAACATCGATAACAACGATAATAATAACAACAGGCTTCCTCTTTTACAACAACAACAAAAAATAAAAAAAGTAATTGGTAAAAATAATAATAAAATAAATAATGTAAATATGACAATGCGGGACATTGCCGTATCTAATAATAGTAGCAGTACCAACACCACAAAAACCATCAATAATAATAAGCAATCACCAATAAACTCATCCGCATCATCTTCTCCATCATTATCTTCATCCACGACCACTTCCACATCATCTGATGTACGATTTCCTAAATTAGTTTTATCTCGCACTACTGCCACTCAACAAACTCCGCGGGCCGGAGCTGCAGCTAATAATAATAATAATAATAATAATAATAATAATAATAGTAAACCAATTAAACAAAAGAAGCCTCCGAGACCACCAAACGCCTTCATCATATATCGTCGCTTCAAACAACCCGATATAGTTGCCAAGAATGAAGGCATAACCAACAACGAAGTATCCAAACAAGTTGGAGAAATGTGGCATCGTGAGCCTATGGAAGAAAAATTGAGGTTCCAACGTATGGCCGATGATGCTAAAATGGAACACATGAAAAAATACCCAGAATACAAATACCGTCCTCGTAGACCTCATGAAAAAAGGCGTAGAACAAAGAGACCACAATCATCATCAAATGGTGTTGTTAATAATAACAACAACAATGCTGATGTTGTCGCTGATTCTTCTTCTACTACTGATTCCAATAATAATAACATTAATAATAACAATACTAACAATAATAATGAACTATTAATATTCCAACCACATTTACACAACGATCATAATGAAATTGATCGAAGAGCTTCAATTGATACAGTTAGCACGACAGAAACTTGCTTCGACTATTTCGGTGCTGACGAATCAAGACGTGGTTCAATCATATCACTAAACGATTTTGATTATGGTAATGACTTTGATCCTTTATTTAATGACGACAGCCATGGATTATTAGCAGAAGAACAATTAACAACAATAACATCATCCTCATCATCACCCTCTCCTGATCTTCAATTTAACGTATTGTCCAATCCTGGCAATAACATTTGTGTCGGGTCCAATAACAATTCTTTTAATACTGATGCTTTAGATTTTTTAATGGAGAATGTAAATACACCTGATTTTTCCAAACCAGATTTTCAATTCGACTTTTTTATTAACAATTTCACAACTACCACAACAAACAAACATGAACACCGACCGAAGATACAACGAACATTATAGTTGTCCGAATCTTTGGGAAATTTTTTATTGAAAAACGAGATCATTACTAGTTTTATATAGTGTTTGGGATCAGACGGATTTTTTGCTGATTCAAGTCATACATGTCTTTTGGCTGTGTGATATTGTTTTGATCATATTATTTATCACAAACGCTTATTCAATCCAATATTTAGACAACAAGATTCTGACTAATAATAATACGGATCAAGTCTAGGCTAAG